CATCTCTCTGAAAATTCATCAGAAACTTGTACTAACAAACCTCCCAGGGCTCTAAAAATGCAAAGTGATGTATGACTGCATTGGAATTCTAAAATTGTCAACTGATGTCCAGGAGATTTTACATACACACACATATGTTTTATATATATATATATACACACATACACACACAAAAATTTTATATAGTTTAAAAAAGTGATCTATGCCATATAGCAAGCACCTGAAGCTGTGAGAATATGGTGTTCCACCCTTAAGGAGAAAGGAGCACCCAAGATTCTCTGATGCTCATGGTCAAAAGGAACGGTAAAATTCAGAGGGTCTGCAAAAGTTTACGGAGTTTTATCAGTAAATTACATGCTTGGCATGGAAATTGGTATGTTAGTCCCTAACCTTCTAGTATAAGCACACAGCAGTGGGTTTTGGATAAAAGGGTAGAGTGAAAGGGAAGAGAGAGAGAGCTGAATTAAAGAGGAATAGAGAGAAATAAAGGAAGAAAGAGAGAAAAAGAGAGATCACAGGTCCTGGCTCCGGCGTTGATCCAGCAGGGGTGTCCAGGGTCCTGGGGTGCACATGCACCCAGGCTTTGTGGTGGTACCTTTATATAGATAAGTTTTCCTCATCCTGGAGATAAGCTTCTTGCTTTTTATGCCAATTAGTTACCATGCTCAGTCCACTCTTCTAGACCTTTCTGGAAATGGGTTGGAGGGCTTTGGGAGGTCTTTGGTGGTCTTGTTCCCCCCCCACAGTGCATGCCCACTGCTCAACCTCATTCCTGTGCTTGCACTGTACTGTGTTGCGCTGATCTCCAGAAGCTTGAACAAAGATGTTTGTCCCAGAGAAGTGCTCCCCTACCTCCATATGTCCCCCTTCTCCAGCCTCATCCTGTTCTTTCTCACAGTGTATTCTTACCAACAATCCATTGCTGTTATTACCAACAATCCTTTGTTGGCTCCATGGCTATCCAGCTATCGGTGTTTGAGACATACACATTAGCCCCCTTATCTTTTAGGCTTCTACAGGGAACTCACTCTCAGATTTGGCTACTGATTCTTCTCCTGATGATGTGTAGCAACATTACAGAGTCACATGAATGAAAAGTGCTTTGTGAGCCTGGACTTTTCAAGAACTTACGAATATGTGAATCCCACCCCACTACACTCATATCATGCTCTGCCCAGTGAAAAATGCTACTGTGTGCTGAGGTGCTCTTATTTCAAGCAGCAGCATATTGTGCACCTAAATGCTCATCCTGATAAAACTAAAAGCCTGAATCCTTGCACAGAGCGAAATATAGAATACTAAAATCTTTAGTTTCCCCCATTCCTCCTTCTTGAAAGGAGGAACTGAAAAGTTGGTCATAGTAAGCCTACATCTATGCAGCAGTTATATTAACTTCTGTTCCTTTCATTTCCTAAAAATGGCATTTAATGCACTAAACACATATTTGTAAAAGTAAATAAACATGTTATCACAGGAAGACACACACCAAAGCTATTGTTTCATGTATCTCTTCTAGGTGTTTCATAGAACATGCCTAACACCTTAAAATGTAATAATAATCATGCCTACATATTTCCCAAGAATATAGAAAACACACAACTAAAATGCAGGAAGGCCAATTTTATATAAACAGTGTTATTAGCATAAGCTAATAATTAACTCAGCAGTTCCAGAGTAATAAAACTGGCCCTTTGCAATTTAATTGTGCAAAATCAACTGCAGCTGAAGAAATTACAGTTCATTAATTTATTTTCTAAAGAAGAAAAGGAAAATACTGCTGTCTCTACCTATGAGCCCATTATGAAGCCAGTGGTGAGAGAAATGGGCAGCTTTCTATCATTGCAATCTCATCCTCTGCCTTGAGACACCACCTTTTAAATTTGATTGACACGGCGGTAACACACCTCTACTTTGCAGCAGCGTTAGGGAGGAAAGAGGGGGTAGGGGGAAAGAGACTATATGTTTCAGAAGCACTCAGGTACAATGGAAGTCCATTTGCCAAGTGACATAGGACAAACTTGTCAAAGTTGTTGATGTGTCTAAAAGACTTACACAAGTCTTGCTCTTGCCTGAGCAAGATTTCTCAAAGGCACTAATGTGACATAAAGACAAGATAGCTCAGAATTCAAAGTCAGTTATTCTGGCTATTGGTTGATAGTGCACTGCAGCTACTGCGCTCAGAGATTATTGCAATCTACTAATTGCACGAATGGATTCTTTACCGACTGTCTCTTCCCCATATCTGTAGCTTATTGCCCAACAGCCCACTATCATTCCTGTTTTCCTGTCCAAATTTCTCAACCAACCCTGCCAAATCAGTTCTCCTTACCTTCACACACTATGTAAGTACAGGATACACTTCAAGTTTCTGCATACAGGGAAACCATGCAGGTGCTTCAATTATTTGTAAAATCGCATCACTGAATCCAGTATCAGATTAATTTGTGCACCTGAAATGGCTGCAGTGTCATGCAGAACCACAAGATACATTAACATTAGGCAGCAGAACTCACAAACCACCTTCACAAGCTCAACTGTGGCACACTGAAAAAAGTCAATATTTCTTGAAGCAGTACTAAAAAGCTCAGTTGTCCGAACAAGTTCTGCATTGCTCAGTTTTACAGTAATAATCGAGATAAATAACTATAGTGTCAGAAGCCTTATCTTTCAAAAAAGTTTCTGAAAGGACTTTAATTACCTTGCTTGTCTGCACTTATCTGATTTCTTTTTCCCCCTAATAACATGTTTATGATCTTTATGAGGATGCTGCTCTTCTGAAGAGTCATGATGCAACAATCCATAAAGCAGCTAAGACTGAAGAAGATGTTTTGAAGAAGATGTTTTGAAAAGACCTCTTCCTCCAGATCCAAAGTAGACTGATCTAAGCTGCTTTCACTTTTCATCATTGTCCTTATGTCAGCAATAAATGTGCCAAAGTTCACACAAGCCCTCCCTAATCCAATTTAAAATGAGCCGGCTTAAATCACAGTGAGACAATTAGCCACAAGAACTGCTACAGGAAGAATGTATCAGTAATATCTTAAACTACCTCAGCTATTTTAAAATTGGGTTTGTCCACACCTCTACTTCAGTAGAGATGTGCATTGTGCTGCCAGAGCACTTTTCAGAGGAGATACAGAGGTCATTTTGGTTCAAGTTGCTTCAACAGTATCAGTATAGTTAATGTAGTACAAAGGGGAAGAGATAAAAATCCGAAAATATTTCAGGCCAAAACCAAGCAGTTGGGTAGCTTACACAGTAACTGTGGAAAATAGAACTGTATTTAAAAATTTAGAATTAAAAGCAGCCACAACAAACTCATTTTGTTCTTAAAAAATAAAATGTCCAAACAGCTCATTCAAGGAAGAAAATGAACCTCTCTGATTTCTGTCTCAAGTTCCTCTTTTGGCATTTAGTGACTCAGGATAAAATACCCGTTCCACTAATATCTACTTATGGTTCTCAAAAAAAACCCCAGGAATTTTTTCCCCCAGTATTAAAATTCTCAAATCAGGAGCAATAACAGCACAGAGTATGTTTCTCTATCTTGTTGCTGTTATTAATTAAGTCCCACTTACTGTTCTTGAATTGCTGTTATTTAGTTGCACTAGATGGGTGTGTTAGAAAGTAATGGAAGATGGATCAACAGCTGTAGTTATTATGAAAATTATGGCAGTACATGAGAGGAATTGCAGCTGCTCAATTCATGCAAATAAGAGCTACTTGACAATGCCTATAATTACACAGTATGTCAAAACAGCATAGCTGGAGTATAAGTAGAGACTACATATTTTAGAAAGCCAAAAGATTTGCATTTCATTAGGTTCACATTCCCTAAACTCCTATTTAGGGATAACAAGATACACATTCTGTCAACGGGCTCACAAATACAGAAAGGTCTATTGAGTCTCCCAGGTGCATTCTCCTGTCAGCGCTGCAGCTGTCAAACACAGAGCCTCTCTGCATGTTTCCCAGGCATTTGTAATACAGCCTGTACTCACAGTCAGAGCTGGAGTTTCAGCTCACCATGTGCTGAGTAGATAAGAAGACAGATTCAGCCACATCTACTTTCAAAGCAAAGCAAGATTGCTTCCGAGTGGCTCAGACAGTGCAGATACCATCTCCTCTATTCAAAGACTGTTCCTGATATCTGGCACAGCACTGTAATATTCTAGTTTACTTTTCTTAGTATTGCTTTTGAATGTACCTACTTTCGGCTTGTTCTGGATAATTCCTTTCCCACTTCAGGCACTAAGGCCCTCTTAAAGAGCACATTTCCTTCTCTTATATAAAAACTTCACTAAAAGCTCCTCATTTTCAGAGAGGCTGCCCACAGTGCTTATCCTGTTACATCTCTAGGCTATTTGCACATTAGCAATGGTTTATATAAAGCAACATTTTATTATTTTAGTTTCTTCCCATTCCCATTCTGCCTCTTTAACTAAAGCCCTTTGTTTTTCACTAGTTGTTTCATGCTGGCAAATCCCTGCACCCGCATGGAAAAAAAACAGGGATGTTTTTGCTTTCCCCTGTATCTCAAACTCTTGTTTCAAGAACTGTAGAGCACATAGTTACATTACAAACAATAAACACAGAACACAAAATATCAGATTAATTAAGAGATTTATTTATTTATTTTTGACTTACGACATTCACATAAAGAGACACAGGGAGATACATAATTTTGCAGCCCTCCTACCTGTCACTCTGGGGTGAGTTGGACCTACTTGGTGTATAACACAGCTGGTTACTAAAATTGCTTACTGCTCTTGTTTTACATAGTGACTCAAACTGTATAGCCTGGCAGTAAATAATCTTTCCTCTGTACTATCAGGACATGCACTTTCCTGTGAAGTCTGCTGACAAAGTCTAGTTCCAACGCCTTGGAACCCAGGGACATGACTCTTGGTAAAAGCAGTACCTCAAGCTTTCCACATTTCACATGGACAGTCATTAAATCACTGACCCAATGTAACAGCTACTCAAATTGTTAGTCTTACCTGAAATCACATGCCGTGGTAAGTTCTGCTCCTCCTCCAAAAGCTTTTCCTTGGACTAGTGCAACACTGATCAAAGGCAACCTACACAAGAGAGTTTTGCAAGAAAAATTCAAGCTTTTAGTCTTTTAAAAATTAGAAAGTAAGTCAACCAAACCATCTCTATAGTAAAAGTTTAGAAAAATATATTATTCCAATTCATTCAAATAACAACATCTTTGTGGGTAAGCAGCACAATACCAATTCCACTTATTTCAAAATTACTATTGCATAATTGATATGGAATCCCAAAATTAAACAGCAAGACAGAGATATCAAATGGAATCAAAACAAGGATCATGTACTGAAAAAACGCGTTATGAAACATCCCTGCTATAGATTATACCTAAAAAGACTATCTGCAAGGAGGAGTGACAGGACAGCAACACAAGATTCTACTTTATGCCAGTACACTACAGAAAGCAGCAGAAAGGGATACAAAGGACTGAAGGGCTGCGTTATCTAAAAATAATGAGATTTACCATGACAGCCTGAGTAGCTTCTTCAGAGTGCTACTATCTCAGTTATCAACAAAACTTTTTTTCTTTTTTTTTTTTTTGAGAACAAAACCATTTAAGGAAAGCAGCAATCTGTTATCTTTGTTGGTGTTGTATTTAATCATGCTCAAGGTATTTAATCATGTTCAAGGTAATTCAAAGAACAGAGGAAAGGAAGAGTATGTTTCCCTACTGCCATTGTGAAATGAATACTAATGAACAGTGACACTGGATAAGCCAACTTCCCTAAGAAATGAAGACAGTTGGTTAGTCACAGAATTTGCATGCTGATACAGCTGTTTCATCTTTTACTACGAAGAAACATTTAACTTATTGAGCAGTTTTCAAACCACCTTCAAAAGTCAGCTTCCCGATCATGACCACATGTTTAGTTTTAGTTCTACTTTAACAGAAGCACCAACACTTTCTTTTGGCCCAAGTTCACTTACAAGCTGCAGCACACTTCATACAATACATGGCACGTGAACCCACTGGAAGAGGGCAGCCTCATTTTTCCTGTGGTTTATGAGAAACCAGAAGACATGGGTCCAATACCCCTACATCCACACTTTGAGGCACCTCTTTCAGGATCACAGTCAGCATCAGCTCTTTCTGAGGGAGACTAACCTCATCTACAACAGATGTCCCCAGACAGCAGCTCACTGCTCCCCCTGAAGCACTGCTTCAATGTCTGCTAAGTCAACACACCTGAGGTGTGGGGGTTTAATCTTCACACATCTTCCTCCTCTGCTTTGCCCCATCCATTTTGATTATATGGAGACTCAAATGGATTCCAATTCTGAGGATTCCTTACAATACTACTACTACTATAAGTCTCCTGGGCAATTTTACAGAAAAAATGTTAATTCATAACACTTTCTCATATAGATTATTTGAAAAGAAAGAATATTTGAAAACAAAGAGTATTTATCTTCAAAGAGCGCTGAGCAGAAAAAACACAGACTTTAGCACTAATGGATTTAATTGATTAAGGGAATCTAAATTTATTTGAAGGAAAGGAAAAAGTGGTTTTCAGAAGTGCCAGATGGTAGAACTGAATACATTCCTCTTATGAAGTGGGAAGACTAAACAGATATATCAAACGTTACCTGTGTAGGCTGCATAAGCTGTCTCTGCTTGTTATTTAAGAGCTACCAGCTTTCACAGAGTTATAGAAGTCAGTTTCTGAAAATCTGAAGGCCTAGATTTCCTTAACTCTAGGTATCTCCTAGCTCTACACATGTAAGCCTAGGTTGGTTTTTCCTGTTCTGATCTTTGGAAAGTCTAATAGTTGCAAAATTTCAAGGTCTAATTTTAATCCATAAATACCTACATGATTAACATGTGTCAATGAAAGGTCTGGGATTCAAAATTACATACTTAAAACTATGTATTAAACGTTAAACATCTCATTAAAGAGTTAGCTAAAATACATTCCAATACTTATAATTACTTCATAAAGAAGGGTAAATAAAATATATTACCTCATAAGTCTGGTTAAGGTGTTTTGCATAAACATGCACATATTCATCCCATCCTACAAAGAACAGGAAATTAAAAAACATTAAGTGATCTTAATATGAAGCAATTAAACACACAGATGGAGAAGACAGGAGTAAGTATTCTTTATATTTACTTCAGCTGGGTTTTTTCTCTTTGGTTCACCTTGCTCAAATTCCAGTCTAACCCTTCTATGCGCAAATAAAAAACTGAGTATAAATCAGGTCAAAAAAATAAAATCAGACCTCAATCAACTTATATAAACTTCAGTTATAATTAAGCCACCATTAAAGTAATTGCAAAAGAAAGACTCTTCTTATTTCATCCTTGATGTTTTAGTTCACCTTGTAACCAATAGTCAATAAGGTACAATTGTTCCCATCTAATCCACACAAGAACTAAAGGGCTCCAAATAAAGTAAGTTGCTGCTACGTTCAAATCAAATATTTCTTCCTACAACATGTAATTAAAATGTGGAAAACTTGGCAGCAGGGCATTACATCCTCTACATGAATTCAAGAACAACTAGATAAACTCACGACAGAAAAAGCGGCAAAAGGTTATTACACAGAAGGTAACACCTCTAGCTCTAGAAGTCTTAGTCACAAGTTGCTGGGGACTAAAAGAATTTTTTAAAGCTAAATCATTATCTATCTGCCTTCCCTGTTATTACGCTCTTTCTCAGACATCTATTATTAACCAGGAACTTGACAAATAACTACATTAAATGACTCAGTATCACCGTGTTCATATACACACTGAATTGAACTACACACACCATTTACCACAAATTAAAAAAAAAAAATTACGTTTGGACACTAGAAATAAAAAAACCAGTAGGTAACAATTTCAGCATGTCTTTTAAATCATAATTCAAAATAAAAAAATCCAAACAAACCAAAACCAATAAACATTTCTTTATTGGAATTTAATAATTCCTAAAACAATGTTTTACAGGGTTTGGCAAGTTAAGGAATTAAAAGCTTCTGACTCATGCTCCAGGAAAACAAAAGATACCCAGTAAGTCTCCAGTACATCTTTAGAAGAGGACCTTGAAATAATAGTAGGCCAATTTCAGGTGCTACTCTGCCCAATGCCAACCAGCATTATGGTGTTTAGGCACAGATGTCTGGCAGATATAAGCTGCCACAACAATCGCTATACAAGAACCAGTGAATTCAGTTTTATTACACTAAAGGCCTGCTTGAAAATTTCAGCACGTGTTGATCTACAAAGAGGCTTTTAGTTATGACTCCAGCCATCTCCTACACCCATCAAGAACAGTAGCAATATCTCCATTCTAAATTAAAGAACATTCAAATCCTTCATGACAGCTATTTTAATAGCTAAGTTCAAAACCCACACAAACATACAAGGTACCAGTTCTCAGACACAGACTTGCACCATTCCCATACTATAACTGTCCCATACTATAACTCATTTCATCACAGTAGAGTCCTTGCATTGAAACTGGCCCTCTCAACTCATGTTGAAATCCAAAATGGTGATTAAAGATTAATTCCAGAACAGACCAGTTTAATAAATGCAATTATGACTGAGCAGACAAAAGGTCTTCATACTCTCAGGTGGTAGAGATTACTGTGTAACCCATAGAAAAAACGCCCACACAGAAAACACTCCAAAAAAAAATAAATCAATTGCTTGAGTCCTGGCCAATAAACCCTTCAAGACTTCCTGACTGGGTTTCTGTGGCTGGGTTTTGGTAGCAGGGGGGCTACAGGGGTGGCTTCTGTTAGAAGTTGCTAGAAGCTTCCCCTGTCCCGTGGAGCCAATGCCAGCTGGCTCCAGGACGGACTTCCTGCCGCTGGCCAAGGCCGAGCCAATTAGAAGTGATAGTAACACCTCTGTGATAACGTATTTAAGAACAAAAGACTGTTGCACAGAAGAAATTCCATCCAGGGAAGAGCGGAGTGAGAACATGGGAATAACAATGTAGACATCAAGGTCAGTGCAGAAGGAGGGGCAGGAGGTGCTCCAGGCACTGGAGCTGAGGCCCCTGCAGCCCATGGTGCAGCCCATGGTGAAGCAGGTTGTCCCCCTGCAGCCCATGGAAGACCATCGGGGTGCAGAGACCCACCTGCAGCCCATGGAGCAGGTGGATGCATGAAGGAGGCTGTGACCCCGTGGGAGGCCCAGGATAGAGTCTGGTCCTGCCAGAGACCTGCGGCCCGTGGAGAGGGAAGCCCATGCTGGAGTAGGTTTTTTCTGGACAGGACATGCGGCCCCTGTGGGGGACCCGCGTCAGTACAGTTATTTCATGAAGCACTGCACCCCATGGAGGAGTTAACCACAGGACAGCAGTTTGGGAAGAACTGCTGCCTGAGGGATGGACTCAGGTTGGAGAGGTCCATCAAGGACTGTCTCCCATGGGAGGGACCTCACGGGAGCAGGGGAAGGACTCCTCTCTCTCAGCAGCAGCAGAAACAACAACTGACCATAATCCCCATTCCCTGTCCCCCGGTACCACTGGGTGGAGGAGGGAGAACATGGAAGGAAGAAGGGGTGAGGGGAAGGTGTTTTTTAAGACTGTTTTATTTCTCACTCTTTGGCTCTTATCCTGTTAGTAACAAAAATAAGTACTATCCCCACTTTGAGTCTCGTTTGGCCCGTGAAGGTAATAAGAGCTCTCCCAGCTCTCCCAGCTCTTATCTCTACTCATGAATTCTTAGCTGGTTTTTTTTTTCTCTCTCCTCTGTCCAATTGCAGAGGGAGAGTGAGAGAGTGGCTTTAGTGGGTACCTGGTATCTGGCCAGGGTCAACCCACTACACTGATAAGAAAAATAAGGCTACTATTCAGATAAAATACTCTAAGAGATATTCGTTGCAGTCTACTGGAATAATTACATTTTCAGTTCTAATACTGTCCTTGAAGTAAGAAGAAATCTAATACGCAGAAAGGGAGGTAAAATACAGTATGCACTACATATGGAAGAAAAGGATTAATAGCTTGTGGTGGGGCTAGGGGAGACAGGGAAGAAGAAAGTCACCTTCACAAAGTAGAAAACTGTAACACTGGCTCTTATTGCTGCAGGAGTTTACAGTCCACTTTCGTGACAGATAGAACAGTATTTCCAGATTATCTCCAACTGCTCCAAAGGCCTCCCTCCACGGCTTACTTCTTGGGAACCTCTGTCCTAGGGCTTCTAGACTAGGACCAAGGAAAGCAAAATTCTCCTTTGTGCCTTCTTCCTCTCATCTGTCCTTTCAAGAGCCACTCCTGCTTTTCAGGTAGCCAGCTTTTCAAGTCTCACTCCAGAATGAGGTTCTCACTCTTGGGAACCAGGCTTACAAAAACAGAAAGAAAAATATTTTTTTCTTTAAATTCCACTACTCATTTGCCTTCTGTGATTTGCTTACATAATGTTAGCAAGTCTGCAAAGAAGAACAGGCAGGGGACCTGAGGTATTGTTTCACAGTTAGAAACAACTGAACATGCGAGAAGGAGGACAAAGAGAGGAAGAGAACAAAGAGGAAGAGGAGGATGAAGAGCCACTAGGGGGCATGAAAATCCTTCAGCATTCTAGGCCATTATTCTGCCTATCCTGCACCACAAGGAAAAGCAAACTGGATTTAAAATCATGAAAAATACAATCTTCCCTCAACCAACTGGTTGAACAAAAGTGTTTTCTGCAATTAGTAAAAGCTATAGGCTAAAGCAGCCTTGCAAAAAAAAGAAAAAAAAAAAAAAAAAAAAAAGAAAAAAAAAGGAAAAATATACCAGTTCAAGGCATGAAGCTATTCACTATTTTTTTTTCCTTAGAGATGCCTGTGGACAGAAAACTTAACCTGAAACCACAAAAAACTCTCACCTGCAGCAAACTAGAGAGAAGAGTTCTGTAAGACTAAAGAACAGCAAATGTTGTTCCATATTTTATTAAAGCTTTATTTAATATAACTATTAAATCCCATCAAACAGATGGTTTAGGATCTTGCTATTATAAAGAAACTCTCATTAAAAGATAAATAGCTTGAATTCTCCAAAGGAAATAGAAAGCAACTATGTTTAACTATTCGTGGAGCATTTCTAGTGACTTTTAGACCTTATTTCAATACTAGCATGAGATCTAGATTCTGTGAAAAGAATTTTCAATGAAGTTATAATTAATACCTATACATTTAAAAAAAAAAATAAAAAAAAATCACAGATACATATATATTTTTAAAATTACCAGTGCTTATAAATTATCCAAATGAAAACTCCCTCAAAACCATTTATACCTATAAAGCATGAAATCTTCATATTAAGAAAAGAGCATCTCTCATAGTGTTCCCCAAAAGCAACAGTGTCCTATACCCTTTGAAAACTGGACTGTCCTATATATTTTACCAGGCTAGAATTTGTGGGGTCTATGACATTTAGTTTCATCAACAGAAAAAATCATCATTAAAGACAAATACCAGTTTAACCAGTTTTTGTGTTGGTGTTCATACTGGAATGCCCAATTAAAAGTTTAATTCGTGTGGTTAAATCCTGAAACTTGAAGTGGCCACAGAAAAGCACCAGGACGTCACTGACCACAACTGTAAACCAGGACTTAAGAGCAGCACAGGAAGACTCCCTTCTCCTGCAGCTGAAAAAGTCCTATTTTACACAGTGCCAAGTACCATATATTAATCCATAAAAAGAATTGCAGCACATGTGAAAGTTGCCAAACAAGTGACATGAGCAAAAAATTGCCATCAAATCCCTAACCTCTTCAACCCCATAGTTACACACAAAACTTACCTGACTCAAGTACAGCACAAGAATTGCATCTGTCCTTCCGTTTTATGCAGTTCCAAGCACAGTTTTGACAAAACAGAAACCTTTCTGTAATAGTACCCGTGCCACTTAAATTTGCTTTTTTACTTTAGAGTATATGAAAAATTATTCCTTGAAACATCAAACTACAGAAGTACTGCTTATCTGATGTGTACATTCACTATATACTGCTCTGAGAAACTGAAATGACATTTTTAAAAGAAAATATTAAAAAGAATATGTAGGAATTTACAGTTATGAATCAATTACAATAACATTTAAGTCACAGCTTAAAGGGGCTGCTAGTGTTTTTTCAAGCATTAAAAGCTCCATTCTGTGGCATGTAAAATTGCAGCAGAATTGTAGTGCAACTCCTCTGTTTAAAAAGAATCTCAGAAAGCTCATTTTTCTCCAAAACCGTAATGTGTATTAATACTTGCCTGGGAGTTGGATATTTCTTTGACAGCATTCAAATCTGATCCTGAGCAAAACGTGTTTCCTGCACCATAGACGATAAGGCCTTTGCCATCCTTCCAGTTTTCCAGTTCAGTTATCCTCTCCTGGAGTTCTACCATCATAGCACCTGTCACAAGTGGGGAGAAGCAAAATTTTTAACAGGAAATTATTATCACAATCATTTTTTGTGTTACATTTTCCACCAATAAAACCAAATGAGAATTAATAAGTGATAGGCTTAAAACCACATGGGAAAGTACCATCCTAAGTCCTGCACACAAGCACCAACATACACTTTTTCTTCAAGGGCGCACTTCCTGAAATTCTGAAGGATGTTCTGCATGAACGATATTTGTGTTCCACTCAAAAAAACCCCCAAAACAAAATAACCAACAACAAAATAAAGCAAAAATAAAACAAACAAGCAAACAAAAAAACCCTCTCTATTTGATTTATTCCTGTTTGCAATTGTATACATTCCGGACACATGAACTTATTTCTTTCCATCCAGATCTGTCCAACAGGACAGATCAGTTATTTTGAAGTTGCTGCCATTTCACCCTGCTCAAAGAATTGGCAGAGAACAGAAAAGAACCATGTGCAAGGTGGGCTCAAGGCATAACCAGTTAATGTTAACAAAGATTCCTAAAAAAGGCCAAAGACCAAACTGTGTTGGAGGCCAAAGACATTTAGAAGTATCCATCCAAAAGAAAATAAAGATATATTTGAAAAAAGGAGCAAAGTGCCTTTCAGACTTAAAAAACCCCCAACTTTCTAAAATGTCTTTCATTCCCTAGCTAGAACCTTTATAGAAAGCCTCCCTTTACAAAGTATGTCATTGTACTAGCTTTTTATTTCTTGCTTAAACACCATATTCTCATATATTCGCTTAATACCCTTCCTGACAGGAATTCTACAAACTCCTGTTCCTAAAGCTCATCCTAGACTGTGGCATTTTCCACACCAATGGAGCTTACCCTGCATTCACTTAAAGCTCTTCCTCTCTAAATGCCTATGACTCTGTCCAATCATATTCTTAAGAGAAAACATTTACAGAAACTAATTCCAGAAAGCAAGCTACATACAGGCTGATTACACTCAGCTTTACACTCCTTTGACAAGAATTTAGATGGACAGGCCTACCTTCTTCAGACAAAAATGTGCTTTTGATTAATACTATCAAGAGCTCTCCTCTGCCAACAGTGTTGCTTTTTTAACTCTACACCTGCATGCACAGGACTAGTTCTGTTCTGAAAGTGCCTGTTAGCAGCCAACCCATGGGAGATTTAATTTTCCTTCCTGTTTGTTTTTCTTGCACTTCCTTATGAAGTAAGCTTCCCAACACCAGATCAAGAGTGAACACTTAGTCAAGCACTTCCCCCTTAGGCTTGGTCTCAGCCACTGAAATAGCACATTTTGACAATGTTTCTGAGGAGGCCAATAATTAAGTGGACATTACATATTATGTACCAGAATGACACTGGGTTTTTTACCTACTATCAAATCCAGATTATGATCCTCTAACAAATCCCTACAGTTTTGCCAGTTCCTTTCCCTTCTGTATTTATAATTTCGCAATGCTTTTTGTGTGCAGCACATTACATTTGCTTTCATTGAATTTAACCTTGTTTATCTTGAGCTCTTTGTAGCAAGATCACTTTGAATGCCACACCTCTGCTCCAAAGAATAATCTTGCAAGTGTGAGAGACCAAAATGTTATGACTAATGACTTAAACACCATTAAGGACTTTTGCCCACTGTAGCAAACTGCAAAGATGACCATTGAAGCCCACTTCCTGCCAGAATATCCCTCCTGGATTTCAGGGAATTGGACTGTTCCACCTGATAGGAACTTGAGGTAAGATAAAGGTGGTCCAAATCATCCCAGGTCTGAAAAGAAGTAAACAAGGGTGGGGAGAAGAATGTAAATCCAAACTCAGCAGCTGTGTTGAAAATCAGCTCTGGGGGGAGGAGGAGAGTTTTTGGATCTGTGATGGTGAAACCTCTGCGCTTAAGACAGAGGGAGTAAAAACCCATCCTCCCTTGCACAAACTGGCTCAGTTGTAAACCTCCCCCACAGACAGGTGGTATTTTCTACTTAATCTGTCTTTCTGTCAGTCTCTTTCTCTCATCCCCCGTCTTTCTCTTTTCTATTTCTTTCTATCTCTTTCTCTCTATCTCACATTTACTGTTAAATAAACCTGGACTATTGATTTCAGCATATGGTGTCATCTGCACCTTAATTCGGGCAGAGGCCTCTCTCTAATAATTTTAATAACAGATCTTAACAGCAAGCTCTCCCAATTTGGGGTCATCTGAAAATTTCAGGACTTCACCTTCTATTTTATCATCTGAGCCATGAATGAAAATACTGAGCAGAATTAGGCCTAGATGAGATTTTTGTGGATCGTCATTTGAAATGCTTTTCCAGATTGACGGTGCACTCAGCAACTTTTCTGCAAATGCTGTTCAAATACGCATGCATTAACCCTGTGGCTTTCACTCATTGCTTATTTGACAAGTCTTCTTACTAGAAAGGTATTTGGGCTGGCATCCAAGCTTTGCTAGTGTCAAATACAGCACAAACACTGTGGTTCTTTTAATAGACAAAGCAGTGAGGTATTGAAGAGTCTTTCCACACAGTATTCCAAGCCAAAAATTTAGTTAACTGAAAAAATGAAGGAACTGTGTGAGCCCTTTACGTGCAATAGCTCAGAACAAGAGACACTGGCCAGAGCCTGTCCCATTCTCCTGGCACAGAATTCCTTCCATTCCTGTCAACACTGAACTATTATTTTACCAACAGATATAGTCCATGATGTTTGATACAATGATGAGGACACAACACTAAAGCAAATCCTCATTCAGCCAGTCTTGTCTTTCAGTATTTGATACCACTAAGCTCATACTCTTTAGAGAACTAAATCTATTTGGAATAATAACTTGTTTGCATCTTAACTATAACCTGAGAATAAGTGTTTTAAAGTAAATTCTAGAAAATAACATTATCATCATTATTATCTAATTCCTACAGGCTGGCTTTCTTCTCTTTTAAATTACATTCAAGTTTAGTTCAGTGATTGGTTGGGCTGCTGAAATTGGTTCCACCAGGCTTAGACTGACATAATTACCATTTGTTTCCAAAGAGACCATTTCAAACACGTGGCTATCAGATTCCAATTAAGAAGAGAAAAAAGGCATAAAAACCTCCATATTGCCCATTAGCAATTTGCCAACAATTTTGTTCTGGTTTTGATTTCATGAGTTGCTCAAGCTTAGAATAAACATAATTCCTTCGAGATAAAAAACTGCTGTGTAAAGTAAATGCCTGGAAAAAAGAATCTCCCTCAACAGTTTAATGATATTTTGCAGCTTTCTAAAGGAAGCATACATGTATACATAAATTCACATCTACCATTATTCAGAAGCTTGGAGACACAGAATCAACAGAATTTATTTGC